TTGTTTATAAACTTTAAATGTATCTATTTATATATATATATTATATATAATTTATATACTGTAAATGAAGATAGAATTTTTCAGGATACATAAATAAGACTATGTATGTTAAAATCCCAAAAAATTCACAGATGAATTGCAGAACCTTGTGGAGCCCAGATCCAAGGAATATATCTATAACACAGACCCATACCCAGGGCTCAGGGAGCACTGTGGAAGAAGGTGCAGAGAGATCGCAAAAGCAAGCCAATCAAGGAATTTACTGTGAAGTTGTGTCACAGAATCAAAACATAAATTCTCACCAACACAACTGCCCAATTGTGAGCTGATCAGGAATGCAAGACAATATGTCAAACTGGAAGGAAAAAGCCCACAGAGTCTTGACCCTTCACGAAGAACTAAGGGCAAACAAGTAAAGCTGAGGTGGGAAACGCGGTCCTTTCCCAGGAAGAGCACAGCAATCAGTTATCCAATACCAAATGGCCAATGCCAAAAACATATACACAAGTAATATTATATGGCCTCAAGGGGTTAAAGTTATAAATACATATCTGTGAACAAATGCAAATATATGTACATACAAATATATAATATATGCAAATATGTATACACACAAATAAATATGCCTGTAATAACAATTGATATAAAGAGAGTCCATGGATCTGAGGAAAAGTAGGTATAATAAAGTGAGGGCTCGGAGGGAAGTAAGGGAGTGGACAAATGTAATTAGAATACATCTGAAAAAAAGAAAAATTATTTTCAGTATGATTTTCTAAATATTTGCTTGAATTCTTAGTAACCCTGCTCCCTCAGCCTTTCAAGTTCTAAGATTACAGGTATAAACCATCACACTTACCTTAGGAAATCTTTTTTTTCATGGTAATGGTATGAAACATGTAATAGCTCTCAACGAATTGGAATAAGAAAACCATTCGCAGAAGTCTATGAATTATTATTGAGAACAAACAGAGACGTGAAATACTGATTGCACAGTTCATGGTGTGAAAGAGACACTATTAGCGAACATATTTTACTTCAAATTGATTTTCAGTCTAACAAAAAACACCCCAAAATTCTATCAGGATTTCAGGGTAAAAATTGAGAACTCAATTCTAAGTTTTATATGAAAATATCAAGGTTTCAAGGCAGAGTGCTACATACCTGTAATTCCAGCAATGAGAACATAGGGAAGGGAAGATCAGAAATTCAAGGCCAACCTCAGAAATATCTGGGAAATTAAAAGAATTTAGAAAAGGACTTGCGGAACATTTATTGGTGTTTGTAAGAAAAACAACAGAGCAGACAAGCTATAAAATCTCAGCAGCAACCAAGAAAAGAGAGATGGGAAATGTGAAGAGGAAGACGCACCTTTTACAGCGGGACCCAAGAATTTAGATAGGTTAAACACAGAGGGTCAGCAAGCAGTCATATTCAAGAGAAGTAGGTGCATGGAAGTAGACGGGAAGTATGTGTGTACAGGGGTCTTCAGAGAGTGAGTAAGCAAACAGAAAGTCAGGGAAAGCATGCTCATGATTTGACCAGTAAGGAAAAGAGATAGAAAAGGAAGAAAAGGAAAGTTATGCTTTCAAGACTTACTCAGAAATATGGGCATCCCACAAGTGTTACACGAAGAAGCTCTGCAGTCAGTTGCACAGACCCAGGGTTTCTGGGGCAGAAAGTTTAATAATCATATTAATGTGATAATTATTCTGTTTAGCAAGTGAACAGTTTTCCTGAGAGGTGATTTTCTAGCCAGGTGATTGATAGTCCCAGGTGGATTAAATCTTAAGGGAGAAGAAATAATATACAGTATTTTTATTTCAATAAAAAATAAACTATAATCTTTGAAACATATCAGAATACCAGGACTCCACCAAGGGACAAAAATAATCCAAACTTTTGACTAGAATGCCAGAGGAATGGCAAAGTGTTACTAAGAAAGTAGAAGGCAGAGTTCATTCTCAGTGAACGCTAACCCTACTGCAGTATCAACTCATAGGTAAGTTTAAGGACAACGTGGGCTCATGAGACCCTATCTCAAAAGAATCAAATTCACCCTATCCCCAGAAAAAGCTAATTACAATATTAGTAGAGAGACTCAAGATTTCCTTTAGGGATTATTAATTTTTGTTAATAAAATAATTTTAAATGGTCTCAGAAGGAAGCACAGGACATTATTAGTGGCTGGGATAAAATTAACAGGCCAACAAGGCAATTAAGTTATAAATCGTGGCAGTAACCTGATGGAGGGAGGTGGAGAGGGAAGAGAGGAAAATCACATCTTCAAGATAAAAGGCCAGTTCAGCAATGGAGGTCTGCAAACACTGCATCGTGGAGGAGGAGCAGAATGCAAAGGAAGTTCAGAGAGCCAGAGAAATCACACTTGGCACTTCACTAGTATCAGAAAGAAATAGAGATGGGAAGAAGAGAAGGAAAAATTATGTTTCTGAGTTAGAACTCAACCAAGTGAACAAGCTCATCAGAGGTACAGGTTGGAAGCCCTTCAAGTAACTGCATCAGAGGAGCAGATCCTGGGGAAGATAAGTACATTATTTCATCAAGGCAATGAGTAGTCCTTTTCTCTCCACTTTGCCTTCAGATGAATCAGATTTCTTGTGAGGATAGATTTCTGGCCAAGTGATTGGCAGCTCCAGCTGAATTAACTCTGAAAATGAAAAGATAACTGTACATAGTATTTGGGCATCTTAGAGTGTTAACTCATCACTCAGGGTCTGAGAAATCATTTAGTTTTTATTCTTTTGACCAAGAGAAAGTAACATTTCTGAATGAACCTCAACAAACCCTCGATACATCCAGCTTTTCACATGGTAATTTAAATCCTAAGTCAAGGTTTCCCTTTCTAGTCTTACCAGGAAATATTACAAAGTCAGCAACAAAAAAAGGGGCCCATCCCTCATGTACCCCAAAGCTATTAATAACAGTAACACTTTGACATATTTATGGCATATCCACAGCTAAAACTTATAGGTTCCTATATCTAATTATGCAAAGTTTACACAGACAACATCATTGAACTTCATCTGAATATTATAGACTTCTCTTTTCCAGGTTCGTATAGTTGAGTATTTTTATAATTTATCAGTGCAGCTTCAATAGTAATTGTTTAAGGATGTAGATAGAAAATTTGTCAATACCCATATATGTACATGAAATAATAATCTCTCAGTAGACATTCACGACATCTTATTATGAAATAATGACATTTAATTTCACATGTAATTTTTTTACCAAATCTCCATTAAAGAATTGACACAGTTCTTTCCAATATACATTGTACACAATTCTGTTTCTGAATTCAATAATTTTAATTGGCTTTCTCAGTAGTTTGAAGTATGTAAAGCTGAATACATTTCTAGTGAACTACTCAGAACCAATGAGGTTCACAAATACATTAAGTCCCATTTTGCTAGGACTTCAAACTTTATCAGGATGCAGGTACTACTAACCAGATAATGTTAATTTCATCCGAATAAAAATAACCTTAAATCTTAAGAATTTCAGTAGTAGATTGCCTGTGGCTTGTATTCCAATTGAGGATGGAGCTCTGATTTGAAACAGCAGCAGGGAGAGTTTAAGTAAAGAGCACACACTGTCATGAGCTTTAGGAACAAATATTCTGCATGCAATTCCTGGATTCAATATCCATTAATTATATTCTACCCTGAACTTAACTTCCTTACTATTCAATTTTTATATATGTGAAGTGGAAATTAGTTTAATTTGATTTCCATCTAAGAATGGGTGAACCAGGTCAATACAAGCCATCATAGCTTCTAAACCATAGCAAATTCTGATTAAATACTTGATTGTCCATTATTAAAACACCAATCCCTGTAATTTGAAATAATTTGTATAGTCTGTTAGGTACAATTAGAAAAACCAAGTATAAAAGAAAATACTAGAAGTAGAATCCATCGACATTCTGAAAGGCTTCCTTACAACTATTCTAATGAGGAGTTTTTACCTTCATTCTCAGGCAGCTCACAAGTGTTGTAATTAGGAGCAGCGGGGCTGCGTCCCCAGCACCCCGGCCACCTGCTAGCTTATCCTCTTCCTCCCAGCATTCTGTTCTGTTTACTCCACCCACCTACGTTCTAACCAATACTCAAGTTAAAATATTTCCTAAACTTATCTCAAAAAATTTTATAAAGTATTTTATTTATTTACCTGTTTACCTACTTATTTATTTATGGTGTGTGTGCATGTGTGTGTGCACGTGCACACATGCACACAATAAATAAATATACACATAAATGTACACATACGTAGTTGCTCACCAAAGCCAGAAGAAAACTTCAGATTCCTGGAGCTGAAATCACAGGTGGTTTAGAGTCACCTGATGTGGATGCTGGGAAGAGGACTTAAGTCTTTTGGAAGAGCAGCAAGAGCTCTTAATACTGAGTCTTCCCTCCAGCTGCCAAGGCTTTAGTTCTTCAAGTCATCCTTAGTTGTCCTATTCCCTCTATTCCCAGACAAAAGTTGCTGAACATGGTTTCTCATTCCCATTAACTTTGCACAAGCATCAATAGCTAAAACATCCTAGCATTCTCTTACAGATTTGTTTCACAGGCAAAGAGAATGGCTCACATAAAAGAATATAAATCTTATCTGAAATGATCCTTGTTGCATTCCTAGTTTTATTTTATTTGTTTTTATGAGAGGTACATAAAATATCCATTAATTAATAAAGCAGTTTGTACTTTTGTGCCTAACATATATTTTGCCTCCAACAAACCACTGTGGATTTTGTGATAGATGGACACAGGAAAATAACAAAGATCAATAGAAAGTTAAACATTCGAATTTTATACTTGAGATTGCAAATGCCCTTCAACTAAGTCAAATTTAGAAAATAAAATGTTTAGGGCACTATAAAAAGTGATGATGAAAGAACATGTAACTGTAGCTTAAACTTAAGTACCATTGTGCTTATCTCTTACTTAGATTATTTTTATATAAAATTGATACCTATACACATCACAGAAAAAAACTTTATTTTACTACCTAGCACAAAATAAATGATTTGTATTTTGTTGAGCTTGGTATTTATACATACATATGAACACACACAGGCAACCTCAGTGGAACTCTGAAACACCGCTTGCTCCAATACTGAGGGGACTTAAGAGGTAAGTGAACAGCCACAGGACGGACAGTCCACTCTCTAGGACCTCCACAGTGGGACAAACCCTGGGCCACTCACCCAACTCCCTAGGCTTTTCTAGCCAGCCAGCAAGGAGTTTTCTGTGGGCAGGCTCCCCCAAAACCCAAAACTATCTCGAGGCCCATCTATACTACTAGCCACACCTGGCCCCAAACCCAACTATCATCCTGCAACCTTGGTGGAACTCTGAAACACAGTTTGCTCCAATACTGAGGGTAATTAAGAGGTGAGTGAAGAGCCACAGGGTGGGACAACCCACTCTATAGTACATCCACAGTGGGACAAATCCCCCGTCTCTTAGCCCAACTAACTAGGATTTTCTAGCCAGCCAGCAGGGAGTTTCCTGTGGCTAGGCTCTCCCAAAATGCAAACCCATTCAGTGAACCACACAAGCTACTAGGCACACCCTACCTAAAAGAGGAGAGCTTACCACTCTCTTACTACAATATTGAAGGCATTAAAAAAGAGCACCAAGAGAGCAAGCCAGGAGAGAAATATAAAAATAGGAAAGTCTTTTAAAATGATTGGTAAGCAATTATATTATGCATATTTCCATATATTGGACATATGTTCTCTTAGAATCATACATTCTTGTTTAAAAATGTGAATGTGTTTTTGCTTGCATGTGTTGAGTGTGTCCATATAGGCCAAAAGAAAACTGTTCCTCTGAAGCTAGAATTGCAGGAGTTTGTGAGCTTCCAGGGTGGGTACTGGGAACTGAACTCAAGTTTTATGCATGGACTGTAAAGCACTCTTCACCAGTGAACCATCTCTCTATCCCAGAAACATACACTCTTAATATTATGATTCCCGTAATATAGATGACTGATAACTAAATCCTGAACAAAGAACAATAGAAAAGTAAATTCATGTATATTTACTTTAATGTGTCAAAATAAGAAGAGCTTAGAATTGAGTACATATCTTAGTTTTCAGTAAGAAAATGCTTACATTATTCCAATAATATAAATGGACCTTAGATCAGCAAAATCCAATACTGATCATAACTGAGAATTTCATTGACCGCCAAGATCTGGTCGCTAAAGAAAGTTGAATCTAAAAGATGTACCAAGACAAGGAAAGCCAAAAAAAATTGGTATTCAGAAGGTTAACAAATCCATAAACCCATTAAAACTCATCCTAAACTCTGAGTCACAAAGTAAGGCATTACTTATGACCTTTGACCATAGTCTGCTGATTTAGAGGTGCTTGGGTCAACTAAAATCCATCCATTCATTCATTTTCTGAAGAACGTTTAGCTGTTATTTACTAGAGGCCATGGAATGGGCACTTAAGGACCCATGGGTAAAGCTGTAGTTGTCTAATTGAATTTAATAACTTAAATGGGGGAAATAGGCAAGTAATCAATAATAGTGACAAGTGCTACTCTGGGACCTCTGTAGGAGAGTATAACAGAGCTGAGAACCTAAGGGATTCTCTAGCCTGGAAAGTGAAGGACTCTTTCAGACAGACCGCAGAGATGATGGCACTAAAATGACTGAGAACAGCTGAAGATGAAGACTTTGGCTTATTTGATGCAGCTAAACAATTCCTGGCATGACCTCGCACTCTCACTAATCTAAGTAAGGATGTGGCAGGTAAAAGAAAATTTCTCTCTCTCTCTCTCTCTCTCTCTCCCTCTCCCTCTCTCTCTCTCCCTCTCCCTCTCTCTTTCTCTCTCTCTCTCTCTCTCTCTCTCTCTCTCTCTCTCCT